TATGGAAGCTTGGGGAGAGTTGTAGAGGGTGAATGATGTAACGATCATTCTCATTCTTTCTTTGAAAATTGGAAAACTTAAAAGAAATCTACTTTTACGATCGATTTCTTTTTCAACTTCTGGCACCAGATATATATTGTTTTCCTCTTCACAATTTAAACTGCGGAAAAACATCTCACATATGACCACACTTTAATAGACAGAATGAGTGTTACCGGCTCAGTTATGTGGACTTTCTCCAGGCACATTTGCTTCCTTATGTGCTCAAAATGGAATTGGGCCAATAATCGTGTGCTAGATTCCACTTGAAATTAGTTTTGACACTCAGTGAGTCTTTTCTGGGTAAACTTAAAACAAAAATGCATTTAAAACTTCATTTTCAGGAATTATCATTGTTTTGAGGACATCGTAAGTAATCTCCTGTTATCGAATCTTAATAATATTATTTGTTTTTGGTTAGGAAGGTCTACGTTATTACATTTAGTATAAACCTATACATTTAGTTGTAGAATTTTGTAATGGACACTTTTTTTTATGGGATTCACTGTGTGATGAAGACGAATATCATCTGGTGAACCTTGTTGACTGTCCAAGCAAGTCCTATCGGTGAAAACCGCATGGGCCATTGCCAACTGGCGTGATGTTTCCACCGCTGATATTGAAAATACCGCACAAGGGCATTTATTTTATGCTGAGCGAACCTTGAAGAGGCACACACCAGGTCCACATACCATGTGATGTGGGTGATGTGCATGGCCAGGAATTGTATAATCAGTGCTGATGAATGCACACCATGCCGTGTGAATTCAAGGCTGAGTTGACGTAAGGTAAGCCGAGGACAGGTCCAAATACTGTGAGGGAAAGATTTGGTTCGTGGACAGATATTAGTACAGTGCACATTGCATATCTACACGACTGCAATTCACTACAAAAATCTTAATCTAGTGCCAGCCCACATCACTCCATTTCAAGAATACACTTGCAGTTGGAAATTGTTCACTTTGCTAACCACTTCATTTTAATTGTCAAAATAATCAATGCCTCGAGTTTCCTCGCTGGCTCCTGGCTGGGCTCCGCTCCTCCCCGACAATAACGACTTTGTTGCTAGTGGCTGCTGCCGGTCGTTGCCACCGAAAGTAGCTGGATAACCGGCTAAAGGTGCTTTTTCTGGAAGACGTTTAATGGGTGGCGACACCGATGAGATGGGAATAATGAATGCATCAGATTGACCACGGTTCATTTAAAATTGTTCTAACTTTTTCATTTATCCTTCTATTAATGTCATTCTTTCGCCAGAGTATTACTTAAATCCTAAATAAAATAAAAACACCTTATAACATGTATTATCTTTTCATTTTATTGTGTACAAAATCTGATTGCTTTGAGTGCTCTGAGTACAGGATTATAAGAAAAGCATGAAAATGAAAGCCATCGAATATTTTCCATTGCAGGGCAATGGGTTCTCTACACGTTAAACTATTATTATTTTTACAAAAGAACATTGCTGAATACATTACCCAACTAAAACTTAAAAACACTGCCATTGCCTAATTTACGTTGCATGTGGTGTTAATGTGGGTATTAAATTGCATGTGCGTGTTGGCTAAATTCAAGCCAGTTACTTATTTCGTGGAGCCTGCTACCTGGAATGATTCCAGTTATTCTGAATGTGTGAGCAGATCATGAAGTTTGTGACCCACTGTCCCAAATGGGCAATGACTTTCATTTAGAACTCCATGGTTCACACCGGTTTTATGATGCTGTAATTGAATGTGTCATGCAATTTTAGCCACAACAATTGTGACTTTATTGTCAAATGCAAAAGTGAAAATTGCTGTTTGGATTTCATAAGCGCAACATATTTACGGGATTGCATGTCGAGTTTCCCATTTGTAGCGTGTTCCATTTTCACCGAAATCCTCCTGCTGAGAAGCAGGATATTCTTCCTTGAAGCAGCAGATGTAGCTTATCTATTTATTTGCTTAAGCATTCACTTAATCTTGCGAATTCTAAAGAATTGCAGACATGCACACCCACAAAGGGAAAATATTAATTATGATTCAAAGCTTCATGGATTGAGTCAGCCTATCATTCCTCTGGGAGAGATAAAACGAATGCCACTTTGCATGCCATAAACAGCGGTTATTCCACGTTTTTTTATGGCAACTGCCATATAAATATGGAATTGGCACCACCACTGGTTCACCTATGCTTGTGAACACCAGCCCTGTGCTGATCTGAGCAGGGATAAAGAAAAATGAATTGGAATTACCAGCAGAGTGTAAGCTGACATACTCTTTCCATTGACGGCAGGATCCTCTCTGTCCACTTTGTAACAGAGAGCACTCTCAGTGTCCTCAAAATTTATAAACTCGATGGTGGTGGAGTACAAACCATGAAATCCATGTAAACCACTCAAGTTGCAAACTTCCTTCGCAGCAAGCCATCCAATGCCTATCTACATACGCAGAATGCCGCTTTTACTTTACAATAAAATACATCATCATCAGTCATCATCTAAATGTGTTTCTTTTTTACCAGGTAAGGCCCATTGAACTATTTGGCTCTTTTTCAGAAGCGACCTGGCTATCACATTATAACTCGACGAAGTAGCTCATCATGTGGAAATTTATAGCAGCCAAATGCTCTAAACCCACCTTTCTAAATATGGGGGGGGGGGGAACTGGAGGACCCAGAGAAAAATCCACGTGACCACGGGGAGAGAGGGAGACAATCAAACTCCAAATCAATAGGTGTCAGGGTCGTATTTGAACCCACGACCTCCTGGATACCAAGAATGGTAGTTAACATCTCGCCACCGTGGCACCATCTATCATTCTCCTCAAGCCGTCACTTCTCTCATAGTCCTACGGTGCAACGATTGAACCTGCTCACGAGCTGGTTTCATCGACCCATGCTTCACATTTGACATCGTCTCGGGCGAGTTCCCTTCTTTGGCTGCCACTCCGTTGTTAGTCTCGACCGCCCGCAATCGTTTCTTCTCGCGACGTGTCCTGCCCAAGCCAATTTACTTTTCTCAACGGTCACAATCGTGTATTGTGAGTGTTGAGATGAGCACGGTTGGCTATGTACGGTGCCAAAGAAGTTCATACATACATTTAACATGCATATGTTCTGTTGTCCATGTTGTTCCCCTTTTCTCCTACTAAATGTATTTTCAAATGTGCATTAGCCACACTCCACTGCACATGATTGAGCTTTCACGCAAACGTATCCACCGGAATCCTTGTTTGCATGATAAAGATATTTGATCAATATTACTCATAACCAGTGTATTGTGTTCATTAAATGCCCCACAAAAATGCATAGAGTTCAGTGCCAAGGTTTTAGGGCTTTAACCTGATAACATTGAGTGGCAATTGTTCAACACAATGGCATTATTTTCCCAGAACATGTTGTTTGGCCAGTTAAATGGAACAGAGTTCATTAAATGTGTGTAAATATAGCGCTCTGTCATTTTATGCAATTCCAAACTTTTTGCAAACCACCTTTGCAGCAACTAAGCTTCGAGCCACAAATTCTGCACGGAATATCCAGACCCTTGAAATTATATATTTTCCGGCTTTGCTTGCCTGGGGCTTGAACCCAGGACCTCATAAGTCCTGCCTCATTATCCTGACATAAGCATTAGCCTCCTTTTCCCTCCACGGTCCCTCAGAACGGTCCGTCAAAAAAAGTTTACGGTATCTATTTTTTTTACGTTGAACTAGATTTTATGCCGACAGAGTTGATGCAGCTATTTCACTGTTCCAGGCATATAACCACAGTGCAGGGCAGCTATTATATGTCAACGATTTCCTTCTAAAATATTTACGCATTTTATAATGGGGACCTTTAAAATTACACTTTGTTTTTAAATGTTACAAAATTATCATTACCCTAATTATCACTTCATTTTCTAACATACCGTGCATTTATATACTTTTTCCCCAACATGGCCCAATAATTTTTTTTTACTACTGATACATGTTGTGCAAATATTGGCCGATGATATTGGCAGCTGTCATGAGGAACAAACACACGCAATGTTCAATAAAGTAAAGTGTTTGCACTGTGCCTAAGACAGGGTATGTTGAAGACCAGATGCAGAAGTGCATTGCTCACTTCTGCATCTGGCCAATGTTGCTGTGGCAGAGCATTTGTCCCACAATCAGAAGATTCCGAGTTCAAAACCAAGACCAGGGCTCAACTCAATGCATCATCCCGTCGCGATCAATTCAAATGATTGCCGCTGTAAGAATTTAAGATTGATTGTCCTGTGGAAAAATCTGAGCAATGATGACTCAGATTATACGATTATATACACCCTCTAATATTACATTGTTGCCAATGCAATCTCAGATTTTGACTTGCAATGTTATTGACAATGTACGGTACTTATACAGCTGTGACCATTGCTTGCGTTCCAATGTCATCCGTTCCCAGGTCAAGTGCTCCAAATGCGACCCGTCCGTGTCTCTTGAGCTCTCACGCGGTTGAACAAAATAAACTTGATCGAAATCACACAGGACTCGATCATAAGGCTTGTTGGTTTTAACCGATGAGGGGAACACCCTCAGCCGGACGAATATGACATGTTCCCCACCGTGGATAATTGGCATCGTTGGTGACGAGCGTGACCAAGCACTCACTTGAGCGGGGAGACCGCTCTGTGCGACGTTACCACCTCGACAACCCTGGTGGAAACGCGTCGCGGTCACCGTTGTCGCCGTTCCGTCGGTTCGCCCACGTTCAGCCGTGGAGACATTGACGCGACTTCACGGAGAAAAACAGAAAATCCGATGAAAACGAAGCGTTCGCAAGCGTGACAATCTGCCCCTCTGACCTCCCCAAATAAATAATCGTCCGCTACCCAGCATCCCTCGCAAAAGACGTAAGGGGAATCTTAATAGACTCTAACGTGGTTAATCAAAGGATGTTGATTGGCATTGACGTTATCGCCCCCATCTCTCCCCCCCCCACCACCGAACCCCCTACAGAAATGCCTGCGCTTCAACCCCAACGCGACCGTGTGGGTGGCCAAGCAGCGCATCCTGTGCACCCTCAACCAGAGCCTGAAGGATGTTCTCAACTACGGGCTCTTCCAGCCGGCGTACAACGGGCGAGAGGGCAAGTTCCTGGACGAGGAGCGGCTGCTGCGTGACTATCCGCAGCCCATCCACTCCGGGGTGCCTTACATCGAGGTGGGAACACCGCGCGTGAACGCCTCCCACTATAATAGCGTATGCATCACAGTGACGGGGGTGTATCACTGTGATACATATATAAAATCTGATGAAATGCGTATGTATCACAGTGTATGTATCGCGATGATACGAACAGAGTGATACGTGTATAGTACATACGTATGTATGATACATATGTACCACTGAGTCAACTATGCTGTGATACATACGTAAAAGCTGTAAAATCTGATGAAATGCACGTGTATCACAGTGATGTATACACAGTGATACATATGTATAGATACATATGTATATAAACATTGATATACATATGTATTACAGTCATAATACAATTATTTTACGTGTCGCAGTGAGATATCAATTCTCACCGTACAATTCGAGACAAAATGTCAAAGATACAACGATATTAGCTTCTTCCCTTAACTTCATTGGTTGTGATTCATGATCGAATTTTGGGGTCGCGCCAAATTTGTGTCACGCGCCGCCAGTTTCACGGCCGAGCAAATTAAATTGTAATGGGTACAAACAATTAACGTGTCAATTGCTATTGTTTCAGTGAGCTGATTGACAATTCTCAGAACCAAAAGTGATCAATTAGATTCGACGGGTCGCTTCAAACCTCGTATCGTGATTGAAGTATTTTTTTAAAAGTTGCATTATTTTTGTGCTGCAGTTCACTCAACAAAAGTTCGCCACAAGTCTTATATCACCATTGTAACTAAAAAATATATCAAAATTATTATATCGCACGTTCTATTCATTGTGCAATAAATAATTAAAGCAATTAAGGGAAATGCAATAATTATGATGTATTATCATCACTAAGCCAACAATTACTCTGGAAACATTTTCGCAAAAGAATTATGTAATGGGATAATAGCTGCATTCACAAGTTTATAAAAATATAAATATACGTTGTCAGGAAATAAAATATTAAAGAAACTAGCATGATTAAAATAAAACGATCACCAATAATCATACTCTAACGATAATTTGCAAAACTATCGATACAATTATTGTGCATCTTATAAAGCATAGCATATATTGCAATATTGCAGCATCGCTACAGCGTGACAACCTTAATGGCAATCTGGACGGCTGATGTTATGATCAAAGCATTCAACTTACATCAGAAAGTTGTGAGTTCAAAAGCCCATGTGGGGTTGGCTCAGTCCACAATTCCTCCCTAGCTGATAACGTGAGCACCGCTTTTGTGACAAATCAAGCGGTTCCCATATGAAGAAAATGATCAATCAATGCCACTACTATATATATATTTCCCATGACTGACTCGGGGTCACGAATGGAGCTGAATCCTGTCCCGTTGCTCGTTTGAAAAGGGAGATGGTTTGATTTCTGTGGCTTCACTGAGATGGTGAGCGATAGCGAGAGCATGCTTATTACAATTCTAACCGCACTCTCGATGGACTGCAGTCGTGAAAACTTCTACTTGGGTTTTATGCATGTCACTTGAGTGAAGCGGAGTCGTACGTTTGACATTTAGTCTCATCTCAGCCACATATTTGGGGACAAATACAATGACTAAAATCTAGTCCAAGATACTAGGTACTCATTTAAGTCCGAGTCATCCAAGGGGAGCCCCAAGAATCAACTCATGTCATCAGGTTCATAGCGCAGTTATCTAACTGCTGCGCGACCGCTCCACCGCATTCTCAACATTCGCACAAACACGCATGCTCATACAGAGACAAAGATCCATTGTGTAGCCTACACGGGCTGTTGGGGCAAGTGCTGTTAACAAGCACCTATTAAGGCCGACACGGCATGCTTGGGGGTGGATGTGGCCGGAACAATGCCCAAGCCGCCTTTGTCCTGCCCAGTGCTGATATTCACTTACTGCACCAGGTACACATTTAAGGCTAAGTTGACCTAGGGGAGGGCCATGACCACTGTAGTAGATAATGTTAACCGTGACCGGGAATCGAACTCGGCTGCGAGGGTACATAGCGCAGTGCTTCAACGGTGGGTCTACCTGTCCCCCCGCGAGCACATGCAAGCGTAGCGTGCGTGCCAACCACGGGCACTCGTAACACGACGCCACAGCGGCAAACCCTTCATTCAAAGTGTTGCTTAAAACGCCTCTCGTTGCCTGACGCACAGGCTGCGGAGCCGCAGCGTATTCGATCGTCGAAGTGACGAGCCGCCTCTGTTGTGCGACGGCGAGGCATGGAGCTGCGCGCTCGTTCTCTCTCTCTCTCTCCCGAGGCATTAATTCGCCTTCCACTCGGAACATCACGGCGTGCCGCTCCGATGAAAAGTATGCGATGTTATTTTTTTTTATAGGGAAGAGGGAGAGGGAGGGGGGGAAAAGAAAAAAACACATTCTTTTAGCGCCAAAGATGATATGCTGTAAGGGTGGAAATTATATACGGCTGAAAGCGTTATACGTCGGCGAGAGCAGCGAGTTGGAAAGCAGCCCCATTTGCGAACATGTAAAGGAAGATCAAATCGTGAACCACATCAAATGAAGGCGAGGAAGCCAGTTTAATATAATCTAATGATGCAATGACGACGGCGTGCACAGTTAATGATTCGCACCTGGGCCCTGTGTTACATTGATGTGGCCGCTGTAATAGCCTGCAGTGTTCATTCTTTACTTTCTGTGAGCTCCTCAAACACAATAGCATGGTGTGGGTAGGGTCCTTGAGGTCAGCCCTTGGCATTGCGACCGGCTCAGTTTGAGGATTCTGCTTAGAAACTCGCAGCCTTCACACTGGGCTCCACTGGATTCTTTCTTTATTTAAGGCTTCGATACGATTTGGCAGGCGGGGAGGGGGGGGACAGCCAGAACATTGACACGTGAGGGTCACTGTAAACGAGAACATCGTGCAATCAGTAACTCGTGAAGCCAAAGGGCAAACAGTGGAGAACGGCATTGCCAATGTTTGGGAATCACTCAAGCGTACAACACTACAAAGGATAATGAATGTGCAGGACATGAATGTGCATGCTTAATCACAGAAATGAGAGCTGATATTCACAGAGGAAACAACGCGAAACACAATCGGCAACTGTTTTCCCAAACTATCGCAAGAATGTAACGCTGCATAATCCAATGAAGGAGACGGGCATCAATGCATACCGCAACCAGAGTATGACCCAGACATTTATAGGATGTAATATCCTTCCTATGTTGACTTTTGGACCCTAGAAACCCGTTTGAAATAATAAATCCGAGTACTAGTCCTCGAGGAGCGACATAACAATTCCCTAACCATGTGTGTGGGGCTCCTGAAAACTAAACTAGTTTTATTTTCCATAATAGAGGTTTTTTTGGGTTAGATCGCGTAAATATATACATGTGTCGTTAAAACCTGCCACCACCCGACACAGCCAACTAGTAAGGGTTTCACGTAAACAGAACATGGCCAATTCGTCACTAGTACAGCATACCAGTGTGTTGGAGAGCCAAGCCACAACATTTACAAACTGAGTATGATATTTCGGCAGTAATTACAACTAGCCTCATCAGGCGACAGCCAGATTTGTGGAGAAGTCCATCTGTTTCATTCCTTATAAAGAGGCGTAGATGTGGTGACCACGTACTCAGATTGTAAATGTTGTGGCTTCGCTCTCCAACACACCGGTGTGATGTACTAGCGACGAATTGGCACGTTCTGTTTATGTGACAACCCTTATTAGTTGGCTGTGTCGGGTGGTGGCAGGTTTTAACGACACATTTATATATTTACACGATCTAACCCCAAAAAACCCTCTATTATGGATGATATTGGTCGCGTAAGCCTACGTGTTAGTTTTATTTGACCAGGTAAGGCCCACTGAGCTATGTAGCTCTTTTTTTCAGAAGCGACCTGGCCACAAATGATAGCTCAATGAAGTCGCTTATCACGTGGAAATTTATGGCAGTCAAATAACCTAAACGCCTGTTGATTCTAAATGTGGAGGGAAAAACTGAAGGAACCAGAGAGGAAAATTCACGCGACCATGGGGAGAACATGCAAACTCCAAATATACAGCAGGCGTCAGGGTCGGAATTGAACCCACGACCTCCTGTATAGCAGGCAAGGAATTTAACAGCTCGCCACCACGGCACCGCTATGTCGAAATGTCTAGTCTCTCCCCTACCCCGAAATCCCCTGGGACCCCTTATCCTATTACAATGGTAATCCCATCACACCTGCTCAACAGAAAATAAAAACTCCTACGTCTATCCGGGAGCCCAAAAGAGGGATCAGGGTCAATCACCGCATCCCATGGGGGATGGTTGGCAATTAGCATGCTCCTGTCATGGACCCGATAAAATAAGAAAGTGTGTCAGAACTTGCCCAAGGGGTATGTCTATATACGTGTGACGAATTGGAATATCAAATGAGTAATTTGGAAGGACAGTTACCCAAGAACTTGCTGGATGGTTTTGAGTGAGGCTATCGGCCGTCACAGGGTGACGAGGTCCCAGCTGTTTGTCCTTCGAGCTTTGCGGGCTGTGGGCGTTGCGAGTGAGTCTCTTTTTTCAACGCTCAGGTGAACCCGGGAAGAGAGGGCAGCTTGACGAGCCACAGGGGTGCCGTTTGGAGCCAGGGACAGCCGTTGTCTCGTTATAATCCAGGCGCTGACCCTTGAATCCCTCTGCCTTGGTGGAGTAGATGCCTTGCATCAAGGGCAGAGCTGGTCACTGTGCGCAAGTAAAGTTAAGTTTATTTGTTTAGCCAGGTGAGAACGCAAAAGACCAGGAAAAGTCTCATTTGCAACAGTGACCCGAGTCACCGGCAAATTGACAAACGCAAAACAAATGAAATACAGTACAACAATGAAGCAAACTCAAATCAGAGCCATGACCATCGGCTAGACCAGGGATCGACATCGAAAATAACAAGAAAAGACATTTTCTTCGAATTTGATATAAAAAAACTCAATATTTCGAGAGCCACAATGCACGTGAAAAACGTCACAAAGCACGTGAAAAACGTCACGAAGCAGTCCTTAAAGAGCCGCACGTGGCTTCGGAGCCGCATTGT